AAGAGAGAGCGAGAGAAGGGAAGGCAGGTTTTTTATTTTGGTTTTATGCTAATGCCACTCAGTCAATACACATCGACGGACTGTGCGGGGATAAAGAGGCCGGGGCTGAGAGTGTAAGGAGAGAAGCATCAATGTGATAATCTCCCACTCTGGCCTCCATTAAAGGAATTCCCTCCCGCTGATCTGAGTTCTCTGATGACGTTACATTTCTCTTCAGCATTTTAAAAAGATAAACTTACCCCACGATAACAGTTCTTGCTTTTCTCCACTCTGACACTTTCTGCATTGAGGCACCTGAAACCACCCTCAGCCTCATTTGCCTTTTCTTTTTTTGTGAGTGGGCAGACACAGGATGGTCTGATAAGGCCAACTCAGGTAAAACACAACATGAGTTCGGCCTGGGAGAGAAACAGCTATCAAAAAGGCTATTAAAGGATTTGGTTTCCACTTGCGTTACGAGAGGCTTTGATAGCTGGATTTTATCTGCTTTGTTATCGTCTCACATCAGGAATACAAACACACACACACACCTGTGCGCTCCTCTTACCTTTACCACACACCTATGAGTCAGGAATCAGGTGTGTGGAGCTTTTGTGCGTGTGCTTTGGTGGCTGGCACAGAGAATGAGAAGGGCACAGTTTATTACAATGCTGCGTACGGTGAAGTGGTGGAATGTGATTAAGTCCAATTTTGGGCTACTTGTTCATTTTTTTTGTTTTTACATAATGCTGTCTGGTTGTGTTTCACAGTGTTTTCATGGCATCATTTGATCATTTCACTGTGTGACACTGTTGTTGTTTTTAATAAAAGAGTGTGATGCCCTCACACAAATTATAATACACTTGATTCCGCTTCCACATTTGACTTTATAATATCCTCCTAACCCCTTCAAAACATGTAAATATTCCAACTCATTTAAAATGCTATTCAGTTTTTCTAAACTGGCTCAGGCTGTAGAGCAGATCAACCTATGATCTCATGTTTGAATGTAAGATTCAAATTTAAATCATATGTAGATGATATGTTTGTGTAAACGGGTGAATTTATGCATGCAAGCACTTTGAGTTTCATCATTCTGATGCTGCCATGTAATGTATGTGTTTCAAGATAAAGTGCACAGCAACACCCTGCGGGTAAAGCACATAAAAATAATCGATAATATATTTATAATATACAGCTGTATTTTTGTGTGTGTGTGTGTGTGTGTGTGTGCTGAAAACATGAGATTTTCACTTTAAACTGTTGAGCTTTTGAAAATAAGGGTTTAATTTTACACTGATGGCTTTTAAAAAAGCACAAGTGTGGGAGTAATTTGATATTGTGCCTTTGATGCGTTTGCAACAATGCGAGCTGTCAAGACTCAAGACACTCTGGCACACTCACACGTGAACACACAGGTGTATTATGGTGAGTGGTGCGAGCTGTTGAATGATAGGCTGTTTGCAGTAGAGAGGTTTAGGGGAGGTATAGGCAGAGGTGGAGAAAGGCAGAAGTGGAGATGGGAGGCAGAGGTGTGGAGGTGAAGACAAGCTGGAAGTTTGGAAACAGATGGCCTTTGTATGTAACACATGCATTCATGGACGGGTGTGTGAATGCATGTGTTACTGGACAAAGTGTGTGTGTGTGTGTGTTTGGAGGGGGGTGAGTTAATTTTGGTGTGCTCAGATCTCTGGTCTCAGCTGTGGTGTAATTGATTAAATGAATTAGTACAGAATATAGAATTAATGTTCGATGAATAGGATCCTGTGTTGTGTGTGTGTTGTGTGTGTTGTGTGTGTGTGGTGTGGTGTGGATGGTGGTGTGTGTGTGTGTGTGTGTGATGTGTGTGTGTGTGTTGTGTGTGTGTACGGTTTAGCTCGATGAAATGCTGTTTGGTGTTGTGCTGAGATCTTGTAAGACATATAGTAGGACAGAGGTTGGTATGCTATAATTTTATAGTGGGATGACGACAGAAATCCTGGCTCTCATGTAATTTAAAGGCAACTTTGGAAGGGTTCAAATGATGAAATTTTAGAGGTATTAATATGGGAGTCCTTTTGGGAAGATTTTGAAAACAAGTGTGTTCTGTGTTTGTTGGGTGTGTGTGTGTGTGAGTTGTGTGTGTGTGTGTGTGTGTGTGTGTGTGTGTGTGTGTGTGTGTGTGTGTGTGTCAGATGGGTTATTAGAATGAAATATAAAATTAGTCTTGATGAAAAGCACCAGATATGTGCACATGTAATTGAATTAACCAGTCTGTGCTCCGTGTGTCAGCATAAATAAAATGTTCACCTTGCGTGCTTCATCCTGCTGAGAGGTGCATCACAGACAGACCAGCCAGTCAGGAGGCCGTTCTACTGTCAAAAGCACTGCTTGTTTAATTTCTGTCATAATAGGTATTCAGGATGTACAGCTGGGTGGGAAATTACAGTTAAATAACATTATGGGTCTTAGCAGGATGTTGGACCAGTAGGAGCCCTAAAACAGTTTTAGCCAGGCTCTGCTGGCAGGATGACCACCAGTCTTCCAAAAGAATTCACCTCATTTGGTGTTTTGATGGTAACGAGGAGCACTGTCTAATGTACCAAGGTATATATGGGCTATAGATGTTTTTAAGTTTTAAAATAATTTGATGGAATTATTTATTTATATATTATAGCCAGCAACTTAACAGCTAACTTAAATAGATTAGCCAACATTCTTTCTCTTTTAAGTTGCTTATGTTCTTGGGCAGTTCAATCTAAATCTAATGTGTTATATTTTGTGAGTCATTTTTATTCTTGAAAGTGGTTAGGACAGTTGCCTCACAGTAGTTAAGATCCTTGGTTCAAATCTGCAGACTGGCGTCCATCTGTAGGAAGTTTGCATGTTCTTCCCATGCCTGAGTGGATTCTCCCTGAATACTCTAGCTTCTGATAAAAGATGTATGTCTGCTTAACTAGTGTTTCTCCATTAGCCCTGCAGGTCACATGTGACAGACTATGACCTCACGCTATGACAGTTTTGATGAGGGCAACTGCAACCCTGAAACGGATAAGCAGAAGAAAGTGGGTGAATGGTGGAAAAGTGCTGTTTGCTTCTAAATATAGTGGAGTAGAGGTATAAAATAGCATCACAACAGCAATACTTGAATTACCATAAAGTACCTTAAAACACTACCACTAATAAATGTCAATGTCAGTGATCATGAAACCATGTGATAACACCTCCTGCTCAAAAGTCTCTGTTTGAGGCTTCTATATCACAGGGATCTTCTGGTACTGCTAAAGTTCACTGCTGATCTGCGTCCACTTGTCCCCTAAGCGTTAAGGTTCGATACAAATCAGTGCAAGGCTGTTATGAGTGATCATAACAGTCTTATCTTATGATGTAATATGTCTCTCCTGGTAAGAGTGGTCTCTTTCATAGTGACAATAACCCCATCCACCAGACATGAGGGGGGTCACTAAACGATTTGATGATGATGGAAATCAAGTCAATTAAATGCTGTTTATGTATCACACTCATCACATCTCAGTCGAAATGAGCATCTATGGGATATTTTAAACTAGCTCTCTCAACCACCATCATCAAAACATCAAATGAGAAAATATCTTTTGGAAGATCAGAGACTCAGAAATGTATGACTTCTGGACTCAACTCCAAGGTGAATTCAAGCTTTTCTTCTTACACTTTACATTGTTTTTTCCCCTTTAATTTTTTCTTTAAATATGCATGCACATACTACACATAGATGCATATGCTATTGTGTAATATGCCAAAATTAGTTAAAAAATATTAGCATACACATACTGCAAAGCAATATGTTACAAGATCTCCTCGGTCACCTCAGACAGCCTTCCTCACCAGCAGCGTGCACGTTATAAAAATCAGACACACATTATCTGCCCTGACCACACTCACTGTAAAATCTTCAAGAGTTCTGTGTTTAGTTTAGAGACGCATTCAGAGTGGCCGTGACTGAATCCGAGTCATGCTACAGCTGCTCTGACACACAGCACATAAAGTAGCCACAGAGCAGGGTTATTTGATGAGTGCTTGCTTATACTCGCATCCATATAAACAGGTTAAAGCCAGGGTTGTCGAGTTTGGCAGAACTTAATAGATAATAGAAGATTACACCAGGAAGCCCTGCACGTACGCACAGAGAACAAACACAGGGTAGATTTGCAGACTTAGTAAAAAATTTTCTAACTGTAGATGCTTCGGTGCTTGCTTTGAAATTTACCCAACTGTAAACTTTACGTGAAAAAGCAGGCTTGGCTCAGTTTCAATTTTTTTTTCTTTTTTTGTTGCTATTAAAGATCTTAAATCCACAACCTTCAGAAAGTTATTCATTTATGAATTACAGCTGGAACAATAAAGATAGCAAGGCACAAGTTACTTTGCATATATTTTAGTGGCTGTCATTAACTCTGTTTACACTCCCTCCTGAACTTTCGGCAGTTTTGTTCTTTTTACTTTACAGCATTACGATGGTTTCGGTGTGAACATGTTTGGACGGTGTGTTACAGACATCATCTGGGCATTGTGTTTAGTTCTGTGTCTGTCAACATATTTTTATTATTTTTTATTTTTTCCAATAAGGTAAAGAAGGATACAAACTTATTAAATCAAGTTTAATGTACGCTACATGTTTTTCCATTCAGTTTGTTTAATTCTTAGGAAGCACAAAATAAAAACTCAAGCATGGACTAAGCCACTGTGTCACTGAATAACAGCACACAAAAATCCAGCTAATTTCACTGATTAATTAATTATTAATTACAATACTGTGCAAAGGCCTTGAGTCTTTAGTTTTTGTATAATTTGGCATACCTCAGCCTTTTCTCTCGGTTTCCCTTTCTTAAGAATAGCTTCTTGACAGCCACCCTTCCACTGAAACCATTTCTGATGAGACTTAAGCAAACAGTAGATGGATGGAGTGCAGGGTCAGATGCATCTGTCAGGTCTTGTATCAGGTCTTTGCTGGATTTGTTCCTGTTTCT